GTGTAGAGACTTTTTGACTCCACCCAATTTCATCAATTAACAAATACATAAGAAAATTCAAAGAGTAGCGTGAGGAACGCTATGGATTCAAACTGCTGATGTACTGAGTGTAAGTTACAGACGCCATGATGCCTCACCCCTGAATACTTCAACAGGCTTCATTCTAGAGAATTTTGACCCTTGATTTGTTTGTAGTGGGGGAATCATCAAATATTCTTGACCTCTGAGAACGGTGGGTGAATGTAGGAGAGAGTAGAAGAGAGATACTTGCAACAGAAAACAGCCTAGAGGCTGCTGAGACAGGCCCCAGGAGCAGACCCTGAGACAAGGTTCATGGGCAAGAGCTTCATTAAGGAAGGGATCTGGGGGAGGCCTGTGAGGGGTGGGGAGCAGGACAGGGAAGGAGGAATCCTGGCAATGCTGTGGTCTCAGGCAGAAGTCCTGTAGAAGGTCCAGGGAGCCCTGAGCACCTGCATGAGGTGTGCTTAGAGTCTAACTCCGGACAAGGCAGCTACGCTTTCACACTCCAGCACCAATGGTCAGTGCCGAAGGGCCCGCCGTAGGGGGTGGAGCCTTGACAGTGCTGGCTACTAGGGCTAAATGAACAGGTAACTTGGGAGGAGCAGAGCAGCGGGATGCGTGGGAGACCCGGGAAGACCCGCTGGCTGCTGTGAGAGCAGGCAGGAGGAGAAACGAAGCAGTGTGCAGCTTTCCTGCCAGGGGGAGGGAAGCTGGGGTACTGTTTTCTAGCAGAGGCCAAAGGGAAGAAAAGCAGCCTAGGGAGAGAAAGCGACTTCAGTTTGGCATATACTGGTTTTGAGGTCTCTGGGGACGTTGGGGTCAAGTCAGATGCAGGGAGCTGGATACAGTTCTGTGACTCAGGAGAAGTGTCAGACCCTGAGCATAGCATGATCAGAGCCACAGAGATGCAGAGGCCTCCCAGACAGGATTTCTGCCAATTCCCAGACACATAGGGGCTCATTCGTTGGAGACAGACAGCATCCCCGGGAAGGGATGAGTCAGAGCACATGCATTTGGGGGGATTTACCACAGGAAGTAATTGAATGATACGATGATAATAGCTGCCAGTTACCAAGCCTTTACAGTGTGCCAGGCACAGTGCCGAGAGAGCCCTGCACGCATGATCTGATTTGATCTCTAAGAGATGGATGCTGTTATCACTCTAACTCCACAGGTGAGAAAAATGAGGCATTGTAATCAAAGCCACATAGCAAATAAGTGGATGAAACTTACTCCTCACTCCCCGGGTTTTATTAGTGATCCCAAATTATGTCTCTTTAGGGAAGCATTGCTATGCTGGAGCTATCACATGCATGTTTCTCTCGTTCTTAAGTCTTACTTCCTGCTCTTTAAGCCTAGTAAACACTTGCCTGCCCACACATGGTTTGTATCTCCACCCGAGCCATCCAGTGCCCCTACAGCAAAGCATGCAGTTGCTTAAACAACCATTCAATTAAGGGCATTTACTCAGAACTTTTCATGACAGAGGCAGTCTGGGCCACGGCATTTTGCAAACATCAGAAAGGGGCATTTTTACACATCTGAATGGCTCCCAAGTGCAGCCCACATTGGCACAAATGTGCCACGGGAGGCCTCCATCGGGGTCTTTGCTGCATGTCATTTCCTGACTGTGTGTGTGAAGTGTGTTCTTATCCTCGGAGCGGCTGTGGCTTGACACTTCTGTTCAGTTTTTAGAAGCAAAGTCGCATAGAGGAAAGGGGGCGTAATGTTTGCATGGCACACAGGTGTGTCGAAGCAAGATGGCAGTAGTCTATCAGAGGCACATGCACACTGCGAAGGTCTCATGGGTGCTGGATGCACTCTGTCCTGACCAGAGACACACTCCGATCTCATTATTCTGCCAGAGGACAAGGTGAGACATGGCAGCAGGGAGTGGAAGGGTGACCACGCGTCTGGTCTGTCCCCCACTGTGTCATCCCAGTACAGTACATGGTTACCTCCCTTTTTTTTCTGATGAGATTTCTAACACTAACTAATTTTGGAGGAGGGACGCCGACTTCCAGCCCAAAGCCTCCAAGCCACCCCTTCCCCAGACTTGTAGAATAATGGGCCAGATCAGACTCCCAGCTAAGATCACCCATGGACCTCACTTTGGGCTAATTATGAGACTGTGGCCAGAAGTTATAAGTATTTATTTTATAGACATGTAAAAGAACAAAGTTGACTCCCCAAAATAAACACAGGTCAAGTTCATGGATGTGACTTAGAGGTTTAATCATCTGATTCCAGGGCCCACGGGTGTCTGAGCTGGAGAATAACACACAGATCAGCCATTTGCAAGCGAGGAGGAGCTGGGCCGGTGAAGGGAGCTGCCATGCACTCAAGGCCGGCAGGTGGACTGTGCCTTCCCTCTGTGCCCTTGCTTGGGAGATTTTAGGGAGCCAGGTACAGATTTCAGGGTGGAGGGAAAGAGCAGGGATTCCTGATTCCAACCTCATCTAAGCTTTCTAGGAGTTCATCCTCAGGTTCCACAGACACAGGTCTACACATCACCACCCTGTCGTGCTGTGCACCTTGGTTCCCAGGGCCACGGTCATCCTTCTACACAAGCAGCTTTCTGCTTTGTAATGTTTTAAACTCTCACAACACATTTTAAACTCCAGCAATGTCTCGTCTTTGGTGTCCCCCCAGCAGATCCTACTACTGCGGCATGTGCTGTGACGCCTGCCCACCCTTGCCCCCAGGAAATTTCAAAAGGACTCCATCTGGTGTTTAGCATCTCTGTGTGTGGCCGGAGTCTCGCTCCTAGGATTCTGTGTCCTCGGTGGACAGGTTGTGAAAGCCACGTAGGAACTGGCTCAAGAGAAGGTGAATCAGCAGATGGCAACTTCCCTTTTTGGTAGAGGTCCTAACGGGCCTCTTCTGCAGGGTTGGGGTGCTGGCCTGCATCCTGCTGATGTGTAACAACAAATTTCTCCCTCAGCAGCCGAGCCAGGCCCTGAACCCTTTCTTCCTCTTTCAGAGAGGCAGTGTTTTTTGTCATTGAGTCACCACTGGGTATGT